CCCGCCGAAGGTCAAGGGAACCCATGATATCCGTTTCTAGCATTCTCCTCTATCATTACCTGAGAACCATGCCCAGTTCCTACAGCTCCCTAAAATGCCCCCACTTAGCCTTCAAGCCGGTGGACAGTGACCGGCTGTGGGGTCCACACTGGAAGCCCCTAGAGGTTGAAGGCTCTCTAGGCAGAGGCATTAGAGGAAGGGAGCTGGTTGACCCGGGCGGGCTTCAGAGATTAGCAGAGAGGGAAACGTAGGAAGGGACGTCACGGAGCTGCACTGGGTGTCCTGATGCCCAGGGAATGACTACAGCTAGCTGGACACAAGGGGAGGAGAAGGAAAACTTCCTTGAGAACCTAGAGTGTCCGGGTTGACCGGATCAGGCTGGTGGACCTTGAGGTTACCAGGAGGGTGCAGAAGAATGAGGGCTGAGCCTGTGTCATAGAAAGAGCTCTCTCAGGGCTTGGGAATGGGGGAGCCAGAGGAGGATGGCCAAGGGACTGGTCAGGTTCCTGTAAGCATTGCGGTGGGGTGTCTGCGGCGGTCAGGCCACAGCACGTGGACATCATTGGTCACGTCCCGCGGCCTAAGTTTCCAACACTGTCTGCAAGAAAACCTCTGGTGTAGGTGGGCTGGAAGAAGGGCAGGAACCTCAGTGGGACCCCCAGCACGTATCCAGAACTGACCAATCAGGGCGCAGCCTGGTCTTCTGGCGGTTCCATTTGGGGTCCCAGGACCGCTTTCCAGTGTAGCTAAGATTCCCAGGACGTGATCCGTGATTTTCTGTGTTGTTTCCACAGTGCCCCTTGTGTTGGGTCACGGATCCCCAAGGTCTCATTTATGGTGTGATTGGCCGGGTTCACTTTCTTTTGCCAGCAGGTGGCAGTGTTGCTCCTTTCTGCCGGGCCTGCTCACCTCTCCCCCGCCCTTTGTTCTCAAAAAAAATACACCAGGCCATAAGATGGCTGCTAGGTAACCTGATACCTTAGGCCTTCCACAACCACCTCAAAATCACAACTAAAACACAGAACCACCCTCACTCAGAACGTCCTGAGATCTAGCTCAACAGAAGCCCCACAACCTGGGAGCTGAAGAAGCACTGAGACCCGTAGGAGGGGCGGAGAC